TTCTGATTTCATTTTTCCCAGATCCTCTATTGTTGCCAGTTCAGAGAGTCCAGGTGGTTGAGTATCAGATTGTTCCATCTCGTTTCCCTTTGATGTTGCTGTAGGTGATCTGGAAGTCTGTTTTTGAGGCTTGTTTCCATGTCCTCTCATTTCCACGGGGAGGGGGATGCTTCTGGTGCCCTCACAGCAAACCTTCTCTGCCCTTGGAGCATGGGATGGCAGTGGGAGCACTTCCTTCTGGGTACTGGGACTGGCTCTCCAGTCTTATTATTTAAGAAATACATTTTGTAAGGCTGTGGCTGCCAGAGATAGTAATTCTTCTGATGCATTTGGGCAAAGTAAATTAGAAATTTTGGGGAGAGGATCCACTGTTTCTGAAGCCATTAAGAATATTTGTGATCCATGGAAGGAGGTCACAATGTCAACATTAACAGGAGTTTGGAAGAAGCCAGTTCCAACCCTCATGAAAGACTTTGAGGAGTTCAAGTCTTCAGTGGAGAAAGTAATTGTAGATGTGTAGTTACGGTCGAAGTAGCAGAAGTAGCAAGTGAGCTAGAATTAGCAGAAGAGCCTGAAGATTGACTGAATTTCTGCAACCTCATGATAACAATTTAACAGATGAGGAGTTTCTTTTTATGAATGAACAAAGAAAATAGTTTCTTGAGACAAAATCTATTGACTCAAGTTTGAAAGCTAGTCTACTGTGGGTAAAGTGCTATCAATCAGGACTGCATGCTACAGAGAACTCTTTTATGAAGCAAAAAGTCAATAGATGAGACAACTTCCATTGTTCTCTAAAGAAATTTCCACACCTGCCCCAACCTTCAACAACTACCACCATGATTAGACAGCAGCCATCCATCTACAGCAAGGCAGGACCATCCACCTGCGAAAAGATTACAATGTGATGAAGGCTCATATGATTGTTAGTATTTTTTGCAATAAAGTATTTTAGTGTATGTATACACATTTTAGACATAGTGTTATTGCATACTTAATAAACCACACAGCACATTGTGAATATAGCTTTTAGATGCACTGGAAAACCAACAAAACTGTGTGACTCATTTTACTGTGGTACTTGCTTTATTATAGTGGTCTAGAATTTTACCCATTCTGTCTCCAAGGCATGGCTGTGTTTAGTTCTGCCATTTGCAAAGAACTAATAATCCAATTAAGGAGAATCTACTCACAAATACAAATAGATGACTACCGCTAGCAGATGGCATTGGTTAACTAGAAATTTAACTTAAGTGGAGATAATAACTCTTAACTCAGTCTTTTGGGCCATCAGATATTAGGACTAAAAGAAAAGTAAAATACTGAAGGGCTTCAGACAAACTTGAATTTGATTACCTGGTCTGTTATTTCTGAGATAGCCTTGGATGGACGAATTATTTTTATTAATACACAATATCTTCATCTGTAAAAAGGGATAATATTAGTAGTTTCACATGATTGTTGAGAGAAATGAATAGAATGGATATCCTATGTGGAAATGTTTAACACAGTGTCTGTATGTAGTAAGCACTCAGTAAATGTTAGTTATTTCATCATTAAAAAAACTACCAAAGCCCACAATTGAAAACAAGAAGCCCATTCTTGACTCCATGAGTTGCTCTGGCATGACATCTTGACTGAGGGAATCTCACAATCCTGGCTTCATAGTCACTGGATGTCCCATATTATCTTGTATCAACCAGGACTTAGGGCTGCACCAAGACCTGTTTCTCAAAAGTGTGAAATTTAATACTGCAGATGGCATGGACTTGTTTCAAAATTCCATGGTCTACATTCAGGTTCTCTAGGGAGGGTTTGACCTAAATAAAATATTCCTGTTTCCATTATCACTTCACCTACACCTTGTACTGGATACAAATATGGACAGAGGAGGAACTACAGGAACCACCTTGCAACATGCTGCACATCCTTCCTGGTATGGGATCTAAAACCATTGGTCACTTTTTCCCATATTTAAATGGGAAACAATTCCCAAATTTCAATATGCTATTTCATGAAACTACAATAACCCACAGGCTTTGAACTACTTTCTTCATTGAAACTGT